CTTTACTATCCTAAAGGCATGCAGAGTCAGATAATGACTTTGATCTGTGAAGCTATGTCATCGAATCTTTACAAACATTTTCTCAGTGATAACTGCGGAACGCTAATTTATCACAGCAAGAGCTGTACTTTCAATTCTAGATTCACTCATTTATGAGAAGAGAGCTGCCTGCTGAACTATATATTTTTAAGAATCTAAAACAGGAACAAAGTAGAATTTTTTAAAAGTCATTAACACATCACATTAATTCAGAACAATACAAAACAATACAAATTATTATACATTTCATTACAGTTTCCCACACAAGTTAAAACAGCAACACATATCATCAGTCAGCTGTTCGGATGTATTGTACTAAGCCCAAAATGCTGGAAAAAAAAATTTTAAATTGTAATTTCTTAATCTGTGGTAGATCTACTGGTTGCATGTGCTCAGGAAATATCATGTCGAAATTCAAATTCTAAAGGGTGAAAAAAAAAAAAGCCAAAATAAAAGAGTAAAGTAGCTACAATTGTTTAAAGAATGAAACATTTTTTTTTCTTTCTCCTGAAAAATTTTGCTTTCTGGGCTTAGTATTTTGAACAGCTTGGCAACGATAATATGTCACCGCTCACAAGGAATACACTGCACACCATCTAACCGTCACCCAATGTGAACATCAACAGAAAACAGTCAGAGCTGCAATCAAAATAATGTTCGTTTGTTCTCACATTTCTGATCGGTTACTATTTCGCTGAAGGAACAATGATTTAAAAATCAAACACTTTTGCCCATCCGTAGACTCAGATTGTGAAATGACTTGAGGAGAATAAATGTACCGTCACTGCACTAGCAAAATGGCATTTCACAGAGTTGTACCAACATGCAACTTGCCTTTTAATTTGTTTGGTGGTACTATCTATATCTATCTTTTGGTAAAACCAATACAAAAATGCACTGGCAGTCACAACAGAAACATGCATGGCAGGGTTTATTACCATTACTAGATGATGAACAGTCTAGTTAAACAGTTGGGTTTTTTCCGTTAATCTCAAAAGCAGCAAAAAATGAAATGTGCCAGTTTTGCTAGCGCAGTGACCATATGCCCGTGTTGTCAGGGCTCTGAACTCAAGGACAAGAAATTGCAGAAGGGGAGATAACTATCACCCATCAAACATCAGCAGTCAAAGGAAAACCAGAGAAACAATCCAAAACATTGGCATATTATTATCTTTACAACTTCAGTTGACAACATCGAGAAAAGATGGTTTGATTACTACGAGAATATATCACCCGAGTGAAACTGAACCTTGCGAAAGTGAGTAATGAGATGAATATTTCAACCCAAACTCTGAGCCACAGCAATGGGAGACTGTGAGTGTGTGTGTGTGTGTGTGTGTGTGTGAGTGTGTGTGTGAGTGTGTGTGTGTTTGTGTGTAAGTGTGTTTGTGAATAAATGTGATAGTGTATGTACGTGTGTCTCAACAAACATATTAAGTGGGGTGGGTTCATAAGCCTACAGTGTAAGTTATTTGATTCATGACTTTACAAATCGGATGGAAAGCATTAAAACCCCCCAAAACAAATTTAAAAATGGCCCGAAGGCCTTCGGACTAAAACTAGGGCCATTTACCTTGTCGTCAAGCATATTATCTATCAACTGACCTATCGGCGGACCCTAACCGACTACAACAACTATATTGTTGAAAAGAAGCAAATGGAGCAGACCACATCAAATAACCCACCAGCAACTGTACATGTCAAATCAAGAGGTTGCCACAGTTTGTACACTTTGTCATTATCTGACGTGTGATTGGACAGCCAGGGAGAACAAAAACGCCCGCTTTTTGAAAAAAAAGTTATAGTAAGCATTTTTCAGCACTTGCAACACAATTAGGTCACATAAGTGCCAAACATAATAAGTGTTACAAGAGAGTAACAAACACAAAAAAGAATGAGGAAAGATAAGGGCGATAGACGTTTGACAGCAGAGAAGGAGCAAACCACGCAAGAGCACCCGTCAACCATCTTCATATCTTGTCATTATTTGACGAGTGACTGAATGGCCATGGAGAATGACAAGGCCTACATTTGTCATCCTTCTAGTCCGTTTCTACCTGGTCACATGACCCCACATTGCTCCAAACATAGATGTTCAAGACAGAAATGTTTCCACTGTTAACTCGAGAAAAGTGGAGGCCATGAGATAAAGCCATGAGACAAAAGCAAGGAATGTGTATACTGCAAACTGCCAAGAGGAGCTTTTTTTTTGTCTTGGTAAGTGTTTTTAACGGCGCTTACAACTGCATAAAGTCATATGAGCACGCGGGACACATTAAACATTTTCAGTCTGGTAGGAATTTCGAATTTTTGTCTTGGTGGCGGCCGAAGCCTATTCTTATCGATTTTAGGACCACCAAGGAATCTTTAACGTGAACAATTTGTAAATGGGACCTCCAAGACTTTTCGCCCTTATCTGAGAAGGCTAGGTGTTAGATCCTACCTACAATAAGATCAGGGTTGTGGCTGAAAGACCCAGGTAGAGCAAACAGACCAAAACTTGTTATTTTTAAGCAAAAGGAAGCATTGACAGGGGAATAATCATTTACTGGAGTGATTAAGTAAGACAGAGAAACAGAAGCCACAAAGATGGAAAAGAAAAGAAACGGACGTACCGCTGGTCCCGCTTCAAACCACCCCTTCAAATGGACTAAAGATATGAGACAGTTCAGTGGGATTCTGCTTGTGCTGAGTATGACACATGGAAATACTGATATGTGTCACGACACGGTGGAATCACGCGCTCGTCAATTTTTGGGAATAGAGTTATTGATATCATCTTGTTTGTTCATCTGTCTAATGAAAAAAAGAAATACTCATCTATCTTGAATAGAAGAAGAGATATTTGTGATGAAAGAAGGTGAGGCTTACTTGGTGTCAAAGGAAAAATTAGCAAGAAAAGGGTTGCCAAAGTTTGGTGATTTCCAAAGCTTGAGTGTTCTTGGACACAGCAAATCAACATTTTTCTGGTGCCTTTGAAAAACCTTTTTCAGTAAAATCGACAAAGAAGAGTGTTTTTAAAAGGACAGACATAAAAGGTGTCGAACTCGAATTTTTTAAAAACTAAGAATAGCCTAACACGATTAAAAATAATTTCAGCTTCTTCGATTTCATTATTTTGACAAGCGCCTAATTTCACCAAGAGCCATACATATATTGTTTAGGATAAGTCCATGTGTGTGTACATTTTTGCATATCTACACACTAGCCTACAGTCTGCATATGGGTGAAAGTTTGGAGTATGTGGAAGTGTAGGTATGTCTGTGTGAATCCACGTGTGCACATGGACTTGCACGTACATGCGTATCCCGGTGAGAGCATTCATATCTGGCTTTGAGTATACGCGAACCTACATACATGAACTGATGAGAGCACACACAACTGTATAGTACACTGTTGAGACAGATGTCCAAGGACGGGCTGCATGCACAAGTCTGCGCATGAAAATCCTCAAGCTTGTCCCGCTAATAGTTTAGTTTTAGTAATAACGAGTTTTACAGCTCTTGTTACAATACACCTAGGTCACATAAGTGCCGAAGATCAGAAGCGCGTCATTAGAGATGGTGTAGCATGCAAAGAAAAAAGGTTGGAGAGATAAGGATGACAGATGTTTGTTCCATAGGAAAGAAGGAGCAAACCACACCAGGCACCTATCAACCACCCATTGCTTCTGTCAGTCAGTGTCCCTTACAACCATACGAGGACCGCAACAACAATGACAATTGTGGACAGCTAATTGCACAGGTAAGAACAACAGATTCTGATGAGCCACAACAGTGTAGTACCGGCCTAACCGAGAGAAAACCATTCCCTTTGGCAAACAGTCAAAAGGTTCTGTATTTGGTCAATCTGCTATGATAAAAGTCCCAAGCATTTACAAAAGTTTGGAGAAATAACCCCCCCGTACTTTATGGTTCCCTGTCTTTTCCTGAATCTGTAAAAAAATGTTTATTTCCTATAACATGGGGATCTGTTGGTGCATTTGCACCATTGCATAAGATGATAAGCCATTGTCTAAAGAATTTAATGCTGAGTAATTTGATCTTTCCTTCATCTGACTATGGTCACTGAAGTAGCACGTTGACAATATGCATTAACAAATATATTATGATGAAAGCACAAAATTATGCGTAAACGGTAATAATACTCATCACATCAGTCAAGGCAGAAACAATCAAATAACAGAACACAACCTCAACAAACTTAGGGAATCAGCATCTACCCCATTATGTAACAAAAAAACCCAACATCCTTGCCTCCTTCCCCTAAAAAACCCCAAAACAACAACAACAGAACAAATCAATAAAACAAACAAATACAGAAACAAACCCAAACAAAAAGAAAAAAGAAGAAAAAGAAAAAAAGAAATAAGAAAGGAACACAAGATTACTTCAGTCAAACTGGTCAACAGATCACTTCAAACAAATTGTGCGACAGTTGAATCAATCAACAGACATCTCTTGGTCAAACATACTTGCCAACAGAAAACTTCAGTCCAACAAATTATTAGTTTGCAGATAATTTAGATCAACAAAAGTGGGACACACCTTGAGCAAAGTATGGACATAATATGAGCATTTTTCTGCCATAGAGAAATTTGGTACTAAAACCACCAGTAAAGAAATGTAGTGGGGGGCCCCTCTCCGATCAATGTGGAGAACTTTTGGAGAACCTTAGAGGTGTGAAAATATCCTGCATAATGACACAAGATACAGAATAATTGTAGGCAGCCATAAAAATACGTAGCACAAATGAAAAGTGCTGCATATCTGATAACAATAATTAGTAATAATAGATGTAGAAATTCATCCTGATAACAATAATTAGAAACAATAGATGTAGAAATTCATCAATCTCCAATGGCACCCAAACAGAGAAAGAAATGTAGTAACCTCCGGAGACAAACCACGAGAAATGTTAAAATGTAATGGTAGGGCACAACAATTTGAGAATGTACATGATACAATGCAGATGTGGTCCATACACACGATGTAATTTAAAAGCCTGCGCACACACACACACACACACAGTGTGGAACACAAAGAGGAGAAAAAATGACGAGAGGCACATATTGTTATGAACACAGCAATCACAAGCCACAAGTTACTTTGAGTCCGACTGAGTCAGGTTTCAAAACTTTAACATTAAAAATGTGCTTCCCCATGGCCTTTTTATAAACCCTATCACGTAAATTCAACGTATGTACAATAGGTCCCATCCAATGACATCAGGTAAACTTAAAATATACAATATACCGTACATAACTGCCTACAACACAAGCCAATTAAAAAAATGAGTTTTGAAAGTACAACCCCACCCCCCTCCCCCTGTATCATATGCATGACATACAACCAGATTGGGCCCAACAATGGGGAAATAATGATTTACGTTAGTCTCAATGCAACTACAAATTGTCCTCAAAGGTGAGATACTATATTTGATGCCCAGTTACTACTTAATGTCACGCATGTCGAGCCCCTTCCAGCATGTCAGAAATTCACCCCTGTATTATTCGCGCAATCTACCCCAAAAAAATGGGCCGATTTTGGAGTCAAAGTATCCCCCCACCACCACCACCACCCCATATTATACGACAGATTGTGCTAAAGGCGAGTATATAAAATGGTAAACACAGAATAATCATTTGAAGGGAACCATGGAAAACCAAACCAATCAGGGCAATGGCAAATCCAAAATAAACACCCAGTAGAACACAAGAAGCAAAAAAAATAACAGAAAAAACAAATAGAAAAAAAAAAAGAAGAAAACTTAATCAACTATCAAAGCATCGGTTAAGACTAATACTACTTTGTTCCCAAATAAAAAAACAATAAATTGTCTTGGTACATTCTGAGCATTGCCAACAAACTGTATAAGTTATTCAACATCATCGTAGTAACTAGGTCGCACACAGGTGAAATGATCCCCAAGGCAAAACATTCCATCAATGATGTTATTACTGATCCGGTAATCCAGGAACGATAACGACGCATCAGAGACGGAATATATCGGCTCAAAGCCCACAAGTAGCGATCACCCAACACGACAATGCTTCCCTACACAGGAGTTTAGTAGTCCTCGTCTTTGAAATCCGCTTCTTCTAGTTCCCCTTCCTCTAGAGACTCGTTGGACGCGGCCAGTTTCTCGTCGCTCGCCACGTCTGCGGGGTTGAACTTGGGCAAGCTGGACATCATCTGTTCCGGGTTGGCCCAGGGTTTGAACTCGGGTCGGTTCTTGCTCTTCCACGCCTCGTAGCCCTTGGCAGCTTTATAAATACGACCTATCACCTGGGGGCGACACACACAACCGTAAGTTAGTATGCAAAAAACTCAACTTTGTTTATTTGAGTTTGTTTTAGTAAGAGATTTACAGATTTACAGCACTTGCAACACAATTAGGGCCATTATAAAAGTGCTAAAGATTAGAGGTGTTACAAGAGAGTAACATACACAAAACAGAAGGAAGAGAGATAAGGATGATATATGTTTGATACGAAAGAAAGAGGAGAAAAATCATACTAGAGCACTCACCAACCACTCCCACATTTGTTTGAGTATAGAGAAGTAAATCAACATAATAATGGTCATTTAGTGCAGGGAAAAGGTAAGACAGAGAAAAAGAAAAAAATAAAGGGGAAAAAAATAATTATGACCTACCACATATCATTCAACTTTATTTTTTATATATCTAAAAGCTTGTCCACATATTTCAGACCAAGATAATGTAGCTTTTTTGAAAGTATCTGAGCAAAAGAATGAAAGGAAAACCAAGATCACCTATGTCTGTCTCAGATAAAGCATTTGATGATGATAGCGTTCACTTATCTGAATAGATAGACTGATTTACTAACAATAAAAGTGTATTGGGGACGTTTACTTAGTCCGAGTAAAGAAAAGCACATTGACACAATACTGGCTATTTAGAAGACAGACAGAATCAACAGAAGGAAAGAAAAGAATCATTTAGAAAGTGGAGAAAAGAAACACTGATAGACAGAATCAACAGAGGGAAAGAAAAAAACTCCACCCTCCAACCATCTGTACCATATAGAACAAAAGGTTTTATCATGAAAAAATTGAAAAAATGAATACTAAAGAAAACACTAGGTCCTCAGGTCAGCAGGTCCATAATACTACCTGATTTATGTGAATGATGACAACTAGGAAAAGAAAAACAGTAATTGCTTTCATAGTCATAGCCTGCTTTGTAACCTGATTAAAAGGCAAAGAAAGACTGCAAAGAGATAATTTTTTTTCTGTTTTGTTAAATAAGTAAGTATTTTATGGCACTCACAACTGCATACGGTCATATGAGCACGCAAGACACATTTAACATTTTCAGTTTGGAAGGAATTAATTTTTAATTTTGCTCAGGTGGTGGCCAAAGCCTAGTAAGAGATAAGTTTGAACAATGGACTTCCAGTGACAGGGAACTTCAACATTCCAGAGAGAGAGTCAACAACGAAATAGTTGCTCACACACCAAAGTGTGAACTCATATACTCACCTTTGGTGCAAACATCTTTGTCAGTTTATTGACCGCCCAGGCTGGAAGATTTCCTGAAGAGAAAAAACAGGGACAATAGATATTAACCAACTGAAGCCAGTGCAATTCACGAGTTCAGAATATTAAATACATAAAATCTGTATTGGTACCAGTAGCAAATCATCTGACGCACAAATTGTCCTCTAAATTCAAAACACAGATACCTCACCGGCAACACAAAAAGTTCTTGAACATGAGCAGAAAATCCTAATCTTATGAGTTCCTCTAAATATGTTGGAAGAAGAAACGTCATCCCAGGGAATATAGAATCATTGATAGATAGTAACCTATAACCTAGCCAGTGAACGGGTGTGAAATGGAATTATGCCATTGTATCCTATTTGACATTTCCTTTTATCAATTGAGTAAAAATTTCATTTTGACCAGTTTGTTAGGACACTCAGTGTGATCAATTTGAAATTAAAATGGATTTCAAATGCTAGTACTGAGAGATCGCACTTGTAAATAAAAAGCTGCATCAAAGGAATGAAACAAGAAAATAGTTAATATACACGGAACACCCCTCCTCCTCCCAAGAGATAAGGGACATTTTTTAATCAGCCGACAAACAACGAAAACAAAGACTTCTGAAAAAAAAAGACTAATATGAGCTTAACTAAAACTCTCAAGTTATACCTTTTGGGTCCGACTGAGAGACATAGGTGAGTTGTGTCTTCCGATCCTCAAGCTTGACTAGGTAGTAGCCTGTCAGGTAGGACGTGCCTCGAATCACACCTTTGCGCGGAGGCCGTGCCTGGTGAGGACATACAGGTGAAGCTGAGTTATGTTTCAAAAGCAAGACAATCATGGCCACATTTTTAAAAAAGAACATTTCATTGAATGTCGTTAATTTCCCCCTCTCCCTTTAAAGTTTATCTTGACAATTCAAGAGGATTTCCAGTCCTTTACAATGAAATCAATGAGCGGCATCATGGACAAATTAGGCACCTGTCAAAATGTGAAACTGACTCTTTCCCACCCTTTGAGCGATCTATATTGAAAATCTGTTTTGGTAAAGCAAGGTGTTTAATGGCGTTCGCAACTGCATAAGGCATATTAGCAATCTATTTTGGAGCAACAAGTTTTATGCCTATTTAAACCATATTTCTGTGTGGGTTTTACGGAAAAACGTTGATCAAAAGCACAAAAAATGTACCTTTATGGTTTAAGGATATGCAAGCTTTAGACGTCACCAAACTTTGGCAGCAATTTTTTTGGCTAATTGTACTCTGAGACCATGCGGCCCCTATCTCCTTCAATCGCAAATATCTTGACTTCTATTCAGGATAAACGGATTATATTATTACCAAAGTACTCAGATTCTAAAAAATTGTAGCATATATGTACGAAGGCATCAAGTTAAAAATACATCTATTACAAGAACACCAGACTCACTGAATGGTTCACCGAATGGTTGAAAATGATTTTCTCATAGCCGCAGTCCAGCCAAGATCGCTGTGTGACAAAATCTCTGTTCTTCAAGGGTGGAGGACTTCGAACTGGAATAAACAATTAAATGTAATTATGAACATTCTGCTCAATGACAACACTCTGCCTATGATGAACTGCGTTTCAATCTTTTTTTTTCCTTGAAAAAAAAACTCCAGAGGCAAAACTAGCATTTCACAATGACTTATCCAACAATGAAACCATACTCAGCACATTGAAGGGACACCCTAAGTCTCCAAAAGCCCATGTTACCTGACTGGACCGTCAGTTTAGAGGAAGTGACAAAGCGTTTGTACATCTAAATTATAGGGTAAAAAATGAATTAAAAATGTCATAAGACGCAACTGCGTTTGAGCAAAGTATGCCATTCTATGGCATGCGTGTGCGCTTGGGGGAAGAGGAGGGTGAGATCAGTCATATTCATCAAGACAATGACGACATTATATTAATTTTCGGAAATTGCTGAAAATAGTTCTCTCTAACCGGGAGTTCTTTCATTAGACGAAGAACTATCAAAATAGAAATGTTTGTTTTGATCTAATGACCAATTTACAGATCGTGCACGTCATTCTCAGGTTTCATTTAAAGAGGGCTCTACTGTAGAGGGGAAAACCCCCTCCAGAGATCAATTGTTAGAGTGTGTTAGGATTCACTTATTTGCTTATTATCCTATCCTTGTTAGGCTCCACTTACTTGCTTAGTATCCTATATAATTATATACATATCTATGTTAGGCTCCACTTACTTGCTTAGTATCCAATATAATTATCTATCTTTGTTAGGCTCTATTTACTTGCTTAGCATCCTGTATCTGCTAAGATCTCCTTACTGCACAGTATCCTATATATCCTTGTTAGGGTCCACTCACTGCATAGTATTTTAATTCTATATCAATGTTAGGGTCAATTATTTCCATGGTACCTTATGTCCTCGATAGGGTCTACTTACTGCATAGTATCCTATATATCCTCGTTAAGGTCCACTTACCTGCAAAGAGTATCCTATATAATATATTCTTGTTGAGATCTACTTACTTGCATAGTATCCTATATCGTTGTTAGGGTTGATAGCACAGATCTCAGCACCTTCCAGCATAGTGCGGTCCCAAGTCTTCCGGTACTGAGGATCATGGAGGACGTCGTACATAGTGGCAATGTCAATGTCGTCAAACACACAGCGCACCTGGGGAACACAAACAAGAAAGTCATGCAGTGTTGCAGACATTCATTTCCCATCCATTACAAGAAAAAATTGTGTAATTATCTTTTATCACAGAAAAATCAAAGAGCAGGATGATGGTAACAGGCCAGAGCAGAATTTTAAAAAACCCACATAGGACTCATAATTATTTTATAATATTCATTCATTTGACAGGACAGCTAGGCACTGTTCAAGTACAAGAGATATAGTACCAAAATTGCACAGAGACTGTGAAATACTAAAAACATTTATCGAAAATAAAAATGACTGTCTGAAAGTTTAAGTACATGTACTGTGTTAGTTTCATTGACACAAGAATCCTTATTTCAACTCAGATCCTCAAAATAAAAAACGAACACTTCCATGCGTAACATGAAACTCTGCATATGAAGCTAAAGCTCCTTTTCAGCAGGTCTTTATATGATAGGCACAACTTATCCTATAAAATCGAAACATAACTTTGAGGAATTAACAATGCACGCACGTTAGAATCCAAAGTGTAAGGGCTAAATTTAAGTGATTTTTATTTTTAAATTCATAGCACACACTAAAATTAATAAGCTTGTGAAAAGATCTCTTTAAAATTCCCCATGTACACAAGATTAGGTTTATGGAATGTTAACTTTGGTAATTTAGAACAAAAACAAGGAATTTGAAAAATGTTTTCTTAAAATAAAAAATAAAAAATTACATTATAAAGTGATTGGAACTCCAAAGTTAACAGAACTAATAGCATGTCCATCGACAACAAAACAATTCTTGATCACTTAAATGTCATAGGATCTTCTTTTGTTAATAGGAACATTTTAATTAAGTTTATAAAATCAGAAAATCGTTTGGAAACAGTCTCAGTGTCAGAGACCCATTTTAAACGACACTACCTCAGGTATTAGCCAGGAACATTAAAAAAAAAAAAAAATTACCTACACAGACAGAGTTCAATTAATTAGGGAGACACCGTTCAACAAAATATTCCATCCAGACACTTGTCTCATTTTCACTTGTGTCACACAGTATAAAATTTTGCTCTTCTAAACCATCATCATGATGCTTGTTAGATGCAAAACACTATATTTAAATTAGAAATATTGGGAAATCAGTATCATGATGCAAATCTTTCTGTCCTGCATTCACGCCATGGCGTCAAACTACTCTGAAAATAACAGGCATACAAACAGTTTTTTCTTATGACAATTCTAGATTTTTCAAATCTTTAAGATCAGTCTATGCCGCCATTTTTTAAGCCCAAGCATCAAAAAGAAAACCATACAAGACATAGATCTGTAGAGGTCTACTTTAAAGATAGAGGCCCACATGATACTTTACACTGCTGTTCTTTTTTTATAAAGTGTTTTACTGCACTCGCAATTGCATAAGGTCATAAAAGAGTGCGCGGGACACATATTTAATATTTTCAGCTGGTAGGAAATTTTGAATTTAGCACGGGTGGCGGCCAAAGCCTACTCTCTTATCAGTTTTGGACCACCAAGGGATCTTTAACGTGTGCAACTTGCACACAGGACATCCGAGATTTTTTGCATCCGAGAAGGCTACGTCACCTAGTAGGTGTTAGATCTTACCTACCAAGATCAGAAATGTTTAGTTTTTTAGCTTTTGAAAGGCTTTACGTCACTAACAAAACTGCATATATAGGTCAATGTTAAGAGCCCCAAGGGGTAATGTCTACAGAGAAGTCCAAATGCGGAATCAGACTTACTCTGCTCACCTCTCTAGCCTCAACAGCACTTTTATACTAAGTTTGCTTCGACTATCAAGGCACCCCGGAAATAGCAGTAAACAAACATACACAGGGAGTAGAGGAAAATGACGAGTAAGGAAGAGAGGAAAGAAAAAGGAGCAGTTCCCCCTATGTTGTTCCGTCACAGTTGTATGAGCATGACATTGATAAATCAGCCCATTTACAATTCTACTGTGATCAGGGGTGTGGCTGAGACAGACAACAGTAAGAAGGAGCCAAGGAGTAGCAGTAGAAAGGCTGCAGAAAGAGTCAGGAGCCAAAGGAGGGGTAGGGGTGGGGGCAGAAATTAGAAATGAAAGCAGACGACAGAGCATTGTTAGAGAGCAGGAAAGGAGGAGAAAGGAGAAAGTTTTAGAGAAGTAATTTTCCATCGCTGTCCAGATTCGAACCCAGGACCTATTGAATGAGAAGTGAACACTGTAACCTCTTGACCATGAGAACTCCCCCAGTGTTCTCAATCTGTTCGACAATGAATAAAATAAAGGAAAGAAAAAGCAGCAGTTCCCCCTATGTTGTTCCGGCACAGTTGTATGAGCATGACATTGATCAGCCCATTTACAATTCTACTGTGATCAGGGGTGTGGCTGAGACAGACAACAGTAAGAAGGAGCCAAGGAGTAGCAGTAGAAAGGCTGCAGAAAGAGTCAGGAGCCAAAGGAGGGGTAGGGGTGGGGGCAGAAATTAGAAATGAAAGCAGACGACAGAGCATTGTTAGAGAGCAGGAAAGGAGGAGAAAGGAGAAAGTTTTAGAGAAGTAATTTTCCATCGCTGTCCAGATTCGAACCCAGGACCTATTGAATGAGAAGTGAACACTGTAACCTCTTGACCATGAGAACTCCCCCAGTGTTCTCAATCTGTTCGACAATGAATAAAATAAAGGAAAGAAAAAGCAGCAGTTCCCCCTATGTTGTTCCGGCACTGTTGTATGAGCATGACATTGATCAGCCCATTTACAATTCTACTGTGATCAGGGGTGTGGCTGAGACAGACAATAAAAAAATGACAATATGATTGAAGCAGCTGTCTCAAATCATTACCTTCACCATTTTGAAGTCTGAAAGTTCATTTGCTTTGGTCCAAACCATGGTCTGTGCTTTGTTAACTTCAAGCTTCCAGCCATCATTTTCTTCACACATTGACTTGAACAATCGGAAGTCTGCATCTTCTGGAATCTTGACTTCTCCCACTTTGAGCGATGTTGTCACAGCCATTTCAGAAGGTAGGTTAGTGAATTATACAGTTACTTGCAAATATCACAATAAATAACAGTAAAAACACTGAAACTGGACTGACTAGTCTCACTTTAGAAATTACACTAACAGTGGTAGAATTTTAAAACAAATTGTCGCAGCCTGAAGTTGAATGATTGAACTTGAAGCTGAATTTAATCAAGTTCTTTCAAGTATAACAGTGTAAAACTGTAGACAAATTGTCACAAATCAAATGAACAAACTGTTGACTAGATAGAAGCACAAAGGGCCCCTGCTGCAATTTATGTTAGTGAACAGATGTGTCTCGAGTCTAGAAGTATAGCATTCAACTTCAGCAATGTACACACAAAGACCGGTGTTTATATTTATAATGTCATCAAAGAAAATTCGAACTGAAATAAAGTGAGCTGGACACGGTTTTCCAAAATTATTCGTACTGTCATTTGTTCATCATTTCACTTGTAGATCTAGTAAATAATGTTTTATACTGGCCACATTGTCACGTAGTCCTTTCAGCTTTCGTCCGCTCACTTATTGTCTCGCCCCCGACAAACAGAATCGCCAGTGGGCAGTGGGTATGTGTAATGTGTACAGCTGATAATCTACACGACAACACGACAACCGCAAATAGGTTTCGCATGACAATTACTTCCGCTACACTTTTCTGTTTTCTTTTGTTACAAGAGGCACACTGGTTGCCATGGAGCATTCGGCCAAGTTAGCAGGACTCACAGAATTCTGTGGCAGGACTGCAAGTTGTTCAAGAAAATAATAGACTTTTTTTTTTCTTAAAGCAGGTGTTGTTGTTTTTTTACGACCCCAATCGACACAATTTGGATCATTGAGACTCTGCATGTCAGGATCAACCTTCGCCGAGATGGAAACATCTATCCCACAGCAGACGAAAGATGAGATAGTCTGCTCGATTTAAAAATTCTCCCCACTCGGGAATCGAACTCGCAAATCCTGCTTACGATAGCTGACGCTAGATTCTATCTATCTATCATTTTATCTATCTATCTATCTATCTATCTATCTACCAGTCTCCCCCCCCCCA